CTGTCCCTCCCCCGCCCCCCAGGCGCAGCACTGCGCCCAGCGGGCGAAGGAAGGGGATTGTCCTCCTCTGCTCCGCGCTGGTGAGACCCCGCCTGCAGTGCTGCGCCCAGCGCTGGGGCCCCCAGCACACCACAGACGTGTTCAGCCTGGAGAAGAGAAGGCTCCAGAGAGACCTTGTTGCAGCCTTTCAAGATATAAAGAGGGCTCAGAAGACAGACAAAGAAAGACTTCTAACCTGGGCCTCCAGGGACAAGACAAGGGCCAACCGTTTTAAAATGAAAGAGCGTGGATTTAGATTGAACATAAGGAAGAAATTATTTGCAATGAGGGTGGCGAGACACTGGAACAGGTTTCCCAGAGAAGTTGTGGATGCCCCATCACTGGAAGTGATCAAGGCCAGGTTGGATGGGGCTTGGAGCAACCTGGTCTAGTGAGTAGCAGGGGCAGCTGGACTAGATGATCTTTGAAGGTCCTTTCCCACCCAAACCGTTCTCAGGTTCTATGATCCTGGCAATGCTACTTGTGCTACGGGTCACGATGGACCACTGCCCCACAGCGAGGCAGCTCTCCGGGGGCACAGCCGTTACCCATGACAGGCCATAAGCTTTCTGCCAGTAGAAGATGGATTCCACAGCTGGCACGTACCTTCCCACCACGAAAATCAGAGTCATTTCACAGGAACAAGGACCGCCTGTGACAAGACACTGCCTCTTTAGTCCCACCCACACCACCGCGGGGCACGCTGCCCATGTGACGGACTCGAGTGTGCAGGAACGGTGGCGGGTGGCCCAGCCCTGCACACAGCTGGGGATACATCATGATGCCTGGAGGCTGCCACGAGGGACCGGTCAGCACAGGGCCACACAAAATTATGGGCATGCTGGCCTTGTCAGTGCCAGGACTCCCACACCACAGATCCATGGGGATGTGCTGCAGCACAGTAGAGGAGTTCACAGACTGCAGAAGAAGGACTTGCATTCCATGCAGCACAGTAAACGACAGGACTGCATGGAGAGCAGGTATTCTGGGCAGGGCGTGAAGGACTAAAAGGCTGTGCGTTACAGGGACTGGTGAGGTAGGTGGCACTGGTGAGACAGAGCTCCTCCTCCAAAGCACCCACACAGGGGCAGCCTGCTACCTCGACTGTGGAGCAGAGCACAGTCGGATCAACAGGGACTTGGCCCTAGACCGTGGTGGCACAGCTAAAGGGAAAGCAGGATGGACCAAAATAAATCCCATCTAAATACAGAGCAGAAAGAATCCTGGGAATTTTCCATGTAGATGACATGGGAGCAATTAACACCAACAAAGGAAGAGTCATCATGTCACACTCAGGGGACCTGGAACAAGGGCTACAGACAAAGCCTGGCTTGTGCCAGACGTCCTCCTAATGCCAAGCACAAGTGAGGAAAGGAAACGGCTGAGGTGGAGACGCACCACTGGATGTGCTGACAGCGCGCAGAGGCAGGCTAGGAATGTACCAAAGGCCGCTGCAAGCTGCCACCGGGCTTCTCTCTATTTCAGCATGCACCTAAGCACTAGCTTCTTGACTGAAAGATGAGCAGAAGAGGGGAGCACTGATCCTTCCTCTCCGCCAAGCCCCCAGCTAAGCAAACTCGCACAATTTGGGGTGTGACACGAGGACAGATGCACATACAACTCCCTGCAGTCTTCAGCTGTTTCATGCTGCTAAAGCACAAAGAAGCATTTCTGAGAAAACCCAGTTCTTGAAGCTCAGATCTGGATTGTCACCGGTTATAGAATCAGGGAATTTTTTCCCACATGCAGTGCAAATTCAAAACTGCCTACATGGCATTGAAATGTACGTAACAAACTCTTATTTGTTACTTAGGCCAATGCACCCCTAAACTAAAAGAAAATAAAAGGTTACCAGGAGTGAAGAGCAACCAGAAAGAGCAAAATTTTTGCACCACAAAAAGCAGAACAAAATCTACACAATACAAAGTCTCCCTCTGCTCCAACCACGGGAACAGACGGATGTGAGATGGAAGTGCCAACCTCTGTTGGAGACGAACTTCTCGCACTAAAACACGTGTGCAATGAAGTCCAGGGAGCTCCCTGGCTTTGTCCGATGGCAGGAGCAAGGTAAAGCACTGCACACCCGGCAGCGGGGCTGCGCGGGCTGCAGCTGCATCGTCACCTGAGCCAAATTCAGCGGCAAACCACGCAGCAACCTCCAATCTGGAGCAGCCAGAGTTAACAGACCGTCACTGCTCTGACCCAAACTGGATACGAGTCTCGCGCACAAGAGCCGCAGCTCCCTGGCACGCTACTCCGCTGCTGTGTTAACTGCAATACCACATGTGTATTTGTTTAGGGATGCTCGAGACAAAAATGCCGTCTC